GCACATGTAAAATGATTGAAACATGCATTTTAACCCTTTCTAACGAATCAAAAATAACAATTACTCAAATCGAGGGGTTGAGTTCCTTGATCAAATTTCATTTTTTTCATCTCATTTGGTCAATTTTGCTTCTATTTCCAATACTTACAAATGAAAAACAACAAAATAACTCAAACAGATAATTTAAACATAAAATCACAAAAAATTAACATAAAGTACTAAAATATTGGATTGCTTCCCAACAAGCGCTTTTGTTTATAGTCATTGGCTCAACTATTTTTCCTCATTTTTTCAAGGAGACTTTGTTAATGAATAATCCACCATTTTAGGTCGTGGTGGATCATTAAAAGGTGACTTTATAGCAAAAGTCATATATTCTAATGATAAGAGAGATGGAAGTGACTTACCTATCTCAAGTGATTCATAGATATTACTTTGAATGTGTATCACTTGAGAACTCACCAAAGGAACGTCCACATGACATTCTTAAGGAATAATACCTTTAAAACCTATACTCTCAATGCATTCCTCAAGAGGAATGAAAAATGAGTCATTAAGGCTCACCTCTTGAGGTTCAAGGTTAGCTCTAAAGGTATTATCATATGAAATGGATATCTTTTCATTGAAATTCAAATTAGATTCATCATTTTGATCAAAATATAATTCATTTTCACTTGCAACATTCCCACTATTCATGCTAGGGTCAACTTGCATATCATTAGAGGAAATAACTTCACACAAAACATGTAATTGTTCTTGTATTCTACTAAAATGAGAAGTTAATTCATCTAATCTTTCTTCAACCCTATCAAAACGGTTAGAGGTTGCATTTGCTAGCTTTTCTATAGCAAACTCCCAAGATGACTTAGAGTCGTTAGCTAATAGTTCATTTTCTAATTCCAAAGGTGAATGTGCATTAACTAACCTTTCTATTGCCAATTCTCAAGATGGTTTACATTCAAATTGGACACATTCGGATTGGTAATCATCAAAATATGAAAAATCGCTATAATTACATTGATCATCCTAACTATAAGCATAAGAAGTCTCCCGATTAAAATCATAGATCAAAACAAGGTTTGCAATGCCCTAATTCATCATAATAATTCAGATTTTGTACTTGTTTATATGTATTAGTAGCATGATAAACTCCACACAAGTCACAAATCATATGATTAGAATTAAAAACATTAACACTCCTCTTTTGCTCAAGCATATTCATAATTGTGTTCATTTGAATTTTTAACTTTATAACATTAAGTTTAGCCTTTAAACACCTTAAACCATTTTCAAATGACATACCTTCGGTAATTTCTTGGTTACCTCTATCCAAGGAGTTTTGCGCATGATAACCATTCATTGCCGATCTTCCTTCTCTCATGCATGGTCTCCTCATATTTTCTACTCTCCTTCAATCTTTAAACATGCTTTCAAAGTAACTTAAAAACAAGTTTAGTCAAAGAAAATAGATGACTCTAAACATACAAACAAAATATAAACAAAGACTCGAAAAGACACTAAACTTAACAAACAAGACACTTGACCCAACAAAAATATCAAAAATAAGAAAAATTGTCTAAATTAATAAAGTTGTTCTTAACACCGATATTGACAAATCTTTCCCGACAACGGCGCCAAAAACTTGACGTGCGCGGGGTATACATATCAATTTAGCATATCCACAATCAAGTTTTGCATTTATAAATCCTAATTACCCCACACGCGATTTTTCGCAAGTATACGAATTGTTTATTGAGCATAGGGGTATTAAATATCGATACTACAAGAAAGATTGCAAATACCAATGATTTTCGAACTCATTTATTATCTAGACTACCATAAACATAAAATTTGTTAGGTCTGATCCGAGGAAATTAACAAACGAGAATAATAGGTTCTTACCAATTCAATAATGACAATAACAAAACAAATAAATCAAACAGAGAAACACGAAATTTACGTGGCTCAGTCCAATTGACCTACGTCCACGGGCGAAGGGGTAGCAGATTTACTATGACAGAAAGAGAAGACAAAAGAGAGAGTACAAAACCCAAGAAATAATTTCCCGGTCCAAAAGACATCTAAAACTGAAAACACAAAAGAGTCTAAATAGCACTAAATGTTTAATGACCCAAAGGCCTATGACTTGCTCTTTTGGTTTGATGCCAAACAAAACTCCTCTCAGACTAGGGTGCGGGCCCCACAAAACTCTCTTGGACTGGTGCACATGGCACTTGGGTTAGTGTTCTTAGCACACTTAAACTCACATAAATTTACAATATGTATAACTACTAAGAGGAGATATTTCTTTATAAGAATTCCGATATGGGATACAAAGACACACTCAACAAAATTAATGAAAATAATATTAGAAAACTCCTAAAGATATGAAATTCCTTGCTACTTTTATATGTGAAGTTACTGGTTAAATGAATGCTATTATCTTGGCTAGTTATGGCGTAATTTCCTAATATATGTGAAATCTACTCTCGTAGTGAATCAACTATACTTGTAGATAAAGCATATCTACTCTCGTGGTTATGAATTAACTACAAGTTCATTTCTTCTATGAAATTACATGAAACAAGTCACTAAAACCACATAAATGCACTTCTACTCTCGTGAATGTACTCCTTAGGTTTATCACTTTTTTGAAGTAGTGTTAAATTCCAATTCTCATTGCAAACTTGACACATTTAGATAATCACAATTAATGGCCGGTTAATCATAATTAGAAAATCAAAAGTGATAAATAACTTGCTCAAAATAATATCATCACATAACCAAATAAACATCACTAACAAGATATAACAAGTTCATCCATACTCTAGGCATAAACTTTAGAAACACATATAAAAACACAATTCCAAACTCGTATAATAGCTAAACATGAAATCTAATACAAGAGAAAAAGTAGTAGAAGAGATATCACCATTGTCACATGAGATCAACCTCTCCATCTTTGCTCCTCAATTTTCAACCAAATCTAGCTACCAATACAAGAAGGATAAACTACACTACCTATACTATACTACTCTAACTAATGAACTAAGGAAACTCTAGTGAAAGTTATATTTTTGGTGAGTTTCTCTAGCTTTCTAAAGTTGTAAAAATACCATCAAAAGACCTCTATATATAGAGGAACTTCTTGCAAGAGACAAAGTGTTAAATCATGTTTTGAACCCATAAACAAGCTAGAAATGAGTTGCAAAGCTTCTTTTGTAGCTGTCTTGAGCTGTTTCCACTGATATTCTTGTAGGAAAATGGGTCAAAAAGATTGTGTGAATAAAACACAAGTTGCTGAGCAAGTTGCAGGTGAAATTGAGGAATACGCGACTTCAAGCCACGTATTCATGTAGTCGTGTTTTCCCTCTTATGCACTTGGTACCAATTCAACTACTATTTTCTCAATGATAGAGGCCGAACTAGCTCTTGTGCAAAACATGAAAGTTGTAACTCTTTGAGATAGCTTTCCAATGCCTCAAGAATTATCTAATTTGGAACTCTGTGAACTGATATATTACCAAAATACCAAAGACTAATCAGAGCTCTATTTCAGCTTTCAACAATAGAGTTTGCGCTTCTGTATTTCGACTTTTTGACAAGGAAAACAACTGAACTGGACTTCGATTATCTTCATACCAAATGTACATCTATCTCTTAGTTTCAAACTGGTTTAAGAATCACCTCAATCTAGTCATTGTAGCTCAAGATATTGCCAAAATATCACAAGGTGCCAAAGCTGTGAAACTTGCTTCCTTTTGTTCTTGATTGCATTTCCTCTTTTGCACTTCATATTCTCTTTAAACCACTTCAAATCATCATCAATAATCCAATTATCTTCTCAATACAATCCATTTGATGATTGAATTTTTAAACCTATAAAAACATGAAGTTTTCCCATAAAAATCCATAGAAATTCAATTTTCACATTTTAAACCACAAAATGCATATTTTCACTAGAATCTTAGTTAATTAGCTAAAAACATGACTAAAACACACCAAAACTAAATAATAAAACACACTAAATACACATAAAATATATACTTGTCAATAATACAATAGATTTAGTGAGAGAATTCTAAAAAGTAATTGTGAGGACCCGAAAATTTTTATTTTATTTTATCGAATATTAGTAGTTTGTTTAAATATTTATTTACTCATTTTTCTCCAAATTATTTATTTCGATCATTTAAAATCCATTTATATGGAACGACGCCTCTTTTATATTTTTAAAAGCATTTTGTTGGAAAAATTCACTTTTCGAAAACTCGTTTAGTTCGAAACAACGAGTGCACGTTTTTCGAGACTATATTTGAATCGAGAGTGTATTAATATTGGAGAATTAAGAACGATCAATAATAGATTAAGAAAGGATAATTGAGGAATTAATACTCAATTCACGTGAGGACTCGTAAAATTATTATTTTTAAACCCCTAATTTTGGCTCAATTAATTATCTATTTGGATTTTTGCCCAAATATTATTTTCTATCCTTATTAGACCTAAATATATGGTTTTATAGCTTCGTTATATTTTTAAAGTGTCTCGTTTCAAAAAATTATTTTCTTAGAAGCTTGTTTAGTGAAAAAGTGAAAATGTGTCTGAAAACTTTAGCCAATTAGGAGTACAATAAGCTCAAAAATTTAAGACATATACAATGGTCCTAAAATAGGCAATTTTAGGTTTAAATATTGAAGTGGTAGTTAGTGGTACAATCGTTATAGGAATTTCTCAAAGGTTTCAATTTTTATTGCGCCTAAATTAGAAGTACGTGGTTTCACGTGCGCGCTTAATTGGGGGACTTGGGACCATTATTTTGGGACAATTAAGAATGAAAAATATTTATATAAATGTAAGTGTCTTAGAGGTTTAGTACACTAGTGCAACAAACGTAAGAGAAATCGAACACAAAACGCGCGCGTAGGGTACTAGTTATAATTGATTTGACGTATTAAAAGATTTGACGTCAAGCGTCTTTCGTACGCAAAGGCTTCAGAACCGCATTTCATTTCATTTCATTTCTTCTGCTGCAACGGACGGCTAGCAGCTGCAAGGGACAACCGAAGCTTCACCATTTCTTTCTTCCAAAACTCATCCAAATCCTTACCAAAACTTCCATAGATTCTCACCAAACTTCACATTCATTTAGCTTTTCACTTGGACAACAACTTAGCTGCAAAAGGAAGGAGCTATCCACGGTTTCTTCAAGCTTCAAAGGGCCGAAAAATCTGTCCAAACTAGCCATCAAAGTAGGTAGTAATCAAGCACCTTAAACTTGTCTTATGGAAGTTGATCTATGCATTTGAGTTGGAATCTTCACTTTAGTAGCTTGTATTGTTGGAAATGTGGGCTCTATGAACTCCCACTTTGGGTTGATGGCTGTGATGATGTTTGATGATGGTTTTATTGCTGAATTAGAGCTTAAGGAAGTAGATTAAAGGTGTATTGTGGCCAGAAACGTTGTTGAACTCTTGAAGCAAAAAGTTCCCATTTTACCCCTGTTCTGTTCGGTCACTTTAATGCAGAAATTTGAGGATTTAATGGCTTGATTGTGCTGTTTATATGTTGTAGTAGTTGTGTAAAAATTTTCATTGAAAAATACTGAGTTTTGGTGGGTCAAACGAATTTATTTCAAAAACTAGTAATCTGGAAAACGGTTTCGCTGTAATCCAGACCAGTGTTTGTATTTCGTCCATAACTCCGTACTCTGACGTCGAAATCAAGTACCGTTAGCGGCATTTGAAACTAGACGTTTCCATGTTTCCAACGGTGTATAATACACATTCTGGTTTTAGGTGTGTGAGCCACACCATTCATCTGAAGTCGGCTGTCCTGTTTCTCCGTTCTGCCGAAATGATTTGATGATACTGCAATTTGAGGCTTGATTTTGAACCAGTTGCATGCTGAAACTTAAAACGATTTGTTCTGTGAAGTTGTAGCCCTATGAATGTATTTTCTAACACTATCAACCATTTCCAGTTCTGAGTTAAATTGAGGGAGTTATGATCAATACACGGCAACTGCCTCGTTTTTGAAAACCTTAGCATTGGACAGATTGCCTTAAGGATTTTCCAAACTTTGGTTGATTGATTAACCACCTTTCCGAGGGTATTTTTCCATGAGATTTGATAGAGAGTTACCCTTCATATAGGAGTAGTATACTGCAAAATTTGGTGTCAATCCAAGTCTGTTTCGACACTTAACAAAAGGTCCAAAGTCGGAACCAAATCTAGAAATTTTGTAACAGTCTTGAATTTTTCCCAACTTTGAGCTACCATATCTTGGTGCTCGAAACTCCGATTCTCGATCCGCTTGTTCTTCCCTAAACCTTACTTGCACCTCTAATTGAGTTACAAATTTCAAGGGCTGGTTTGTAACGAGTCAATTCTGCTGAATTTTCAAAGTTAGCGAAAAACCAACCCCGGCTCAATCCTGGGTGATTTGGAACAGCAACTTTAAGCTCATTTTTGAACACCTTCCACTTAGATTCATGGAAAAGTGTCTTCTAAGAACTTTTAGTACTTTGGAAGAGGTTTCCAACAGTACCAAGTTTTCCAATTTTCGACATGTGAAATCTGAGATACGATTTTTTTCAAAATATCGTATCAAAACTGAAATTTTCTGAATTCCAAGGAAATGGAGTTTTTCAAGTATTCCTTATTCCTTCGATAATACTTGAACGTTTATGCTTGATTTCCAAGATAACAAAACTCGATTACTCTTGTACATTAAGAAACTCCACTTGAACCTCGATTTACTAGTAATTGAGATTCATTTTCATGAAATTTCTCCAGATTGTACTAGTGCACAATCTTCCTTGATAATTGGGATGTGTGAATGATAATTCACTATTAAATACTCAGGCGCTCAAGAGGACCTTCCAGAGGATCTCACGGAAGACGCCTAAACCATCATTTGAACTCGCTACTTGAATCACTGTGAGTGTCAAGTGCATGAACTTGTTATTAAGTGGTTATCTATTTCTTATCCGTTATGTAAATTTGAAATTTTGAGACGAGGGTGTACTTTATCGCACTCGTTCTCTTTCAAATGAAATTATATTCAAATTTTGTTATGTGAATTCGTATCCAACTTGTACATGGTAATGTGGATGTGATTTGTACTTGTGATTCGTATATGTGATCCGTATTTGTGATTCCTATTTGGAATCGTCGATTTGAGCGTTGCTCATCGACTTATATTCGTATTCGTATTCATATTCGGGGGACGCCCAAAACTCGTTGGCCAACTTTGCGAATCGAGCCAGCATGGGCTTGGTCGATAAGCTTAGCAAACCATGAGATATTCGTAGAGCATGATCTATTGGAGAGATCTTGCTCGGCATTACTCATGCAGTATTGTCATGATATACTCGAGTATTATCAAAAACTTTAATGAGCGGGCTCGGTAAGGGGGTGTAACGGTGACGGGATTCGAAGAAAAGTGGTGTATCTACGGATTTGATACTTATGTGGTTGACGGAGTGTCAACGTGAGATGTGATCAAGATTTCGACTCGACTACGTGGAATTTAGCTCCTGAGAGCTACAGTATCCTTGAATTGTTTCTGTTTATTTTTCCTATTCGAAATGTGAATTATTCGAATTTAATAGCCTTACCTATAATGTAATTGTTGTTACTACTTGGATTATGTGTTTGCATGTGTGTTTTCTTGGCCTCACTGAGTATTGGCTCATCCTATTAGTTTGTTTTCCTTAACAGGTTGGATTGGAAGATTTTGATAAAGCCGACTAGATTATACTTTTGATTAGAATCGGGGCTGTAAATGTGTAGTCGACTTTTAATGGTTGCATTTTGGAACTTGATGTATCTTTTGTGAACATGATGTAAGATTTAAATATTTAATTAAGGAAGCGACTTTTCTTTATTTTGACTCATAGTATTTGGTATGTATCGTTAAGTTCGATTTGATTTGTCTTGAGTCCTGGCGAGAGCTGGGCAGGCGTCCCGCGGATACCCTTGGGTTCGCCCTTGGGAGAAGTGGGGGGCGTCACAGTAATACCCGACATAGACACAGACACACATATATGTTGAGGAATTAATACCTCTATAAAATATGTTTATTCTCTTTAGTTTGTATTTAGTTGGCACATATGTTTGTCTTATAGACTATTATTCATCATGCATTTTGCATAACTCTTTGTTGGAAAATGTGGGATAATTATTTAAATCTTCTTTAGAAGATTGTTAAATTTACCCTTCATAAAATGTTGAATTTCTCTATGGCTCTACCCAAGTTTAAAATTCAACATAGTGTGTTGACTTAACATGATGTGTACTGATTTTAGTTTGAGGAAAACTAATTCTTTTTTTTTTAATTATTCAAATTAGCAGGTAGAGGGTACCCAATGAGTAATTCCAAAACTGAAACTAGAGAGTTTGGTAATGAGAGTTAAAACCCATACGGGCACCTAATAGGGTTTGGTAAAAGATTTAAATATGCAAATTATGATTTGTTAAGAGGAATTCTTGAGAGTACTCGATCTCCACTATCTAGGGGTGTAATTGAATCGAGTTGAGTTCGAGTAGTGCAATATTCAATCTTTACTCGAGTTAATAAACTTGGACTCGAACTCGAGTTTGAGCTCATCGAGCTATTGAAAATTAAGCTCGACCTTGAGGTCGATTTTTTTTTTGTATTACTCGATCTCGATTTTATTTTGCATTACTCGAGTTCAAACTCGAACTTATTTTTATTGAGTCCAATCGAGCCTAATTGAGTTTAAGAAATATAAATTCATATTTCATATAATTTTAAACAAGGGACAAATTAGACATTTCATACTAATAAATACAAAAAATAAAAAAAATCATATATATGTGAAGCTTGATTAAGTTCGATGAGCTTTCGAGCTTCATATATTAAACTCGAACTCAATTCGTCAAGTAGCTCGAGCTGCTTGAACTTGAGTTCAAACTCGGAACTTGAGTGCGAGTTCGCACTTGAGTTTGGGCCGAGCATGCTTGCGAGCTACTCGATTAAACTTGATTTATTTGCACCCCTAATCCCAGGACCAATTTAGGCCCTGTTTGATAATCCAATTCAGAATTTAAACTTAATGGATTCAGATTTTAACATGTTCGAATGCATTTGATAACCAAAAATCTGAATTAATTAAGTGGTACTGAATTTCCTAAGCAAAACTTACTCCCAAAAATAAATGATAAGTTATTCACTTAATAGTGAATGTGATATACAGTCAAATGTGTCAAATTTAATACTACTTAACAATTCAATAAGTTAATGGATTCAAATTTCAAATTTCAGATTTTAGTTTTATCAAACGCATCCCTAGTTTCTATTTAGATTTGTGGTAGCTTATCAAAAAGTATCTGAAGAACTTTATGTTATGGGTGCCCATTTGTGACAGCTTATCTTGTAGAACTTTCAATTAAAACGCTCGCTTAAGTGCTTAATGCATACATGAAAGTGCTTATTGTGTTAGATAATGTATGATTTTGAATTTTTGGAATGTATTTATCTTCTTATTCAAATTAGAATTTATGATAAAATGATCAAAGTTTATGTTTTACTTTTTGAACTACGAAAGTTATTCTAAAAGTACCAATTTAGAGATTTTGCTAAAAGTGCTTTTGATATCACAAGTTTACTCCTAAATTTATGGAATGATACTCACCAATCATTTCAAAAGTACTTTTATCACCCCAAAAGTAAATTTTTAGCAAAATACTGTAATTTGAGATAGGCTCTTCAGGGATACTAGAATTTTGCCCGTGCCTTAGCACGGTTATTTTTTTTATTTATTGCAAACTTATACAAATATAAATAATTTAAAATACAAAAATTAACAACAATCCTACATGTTCATCTATATTAACTTCAAATAATTGATGTGTTCTAAATATTCAATTATTTACTAATTTTCAAATATTTGTTTATAGACTTTTACTATAATATGATAGTATACATTAAATCATATACCCCATATCAAGAATTTGGTAGATATTCTTTTTTTACAGATATTCTTTTAGATAATTTAAATTTTTGTAATGACCATAAATTTAGAACTATATATTCATATTTAATTAAGTAGACAAAATCTAGCAATTCATTTTTCTTCATCAATAAATATTCAGTTTCTAACAATATTGGTAAATTTATCGGTGTAACAGTTAATTCCCTTTTTTATACTAAATTAATTCAAAATTAAGGAAGAAATGATGAACAATTTGAATACTAATCAATGATATGGTGCTGAAAGAAAGTAATTTGGGATATGTAAGATTTCAATCATTGTGATTATAAAAGTAATTTGGGATATGTAAGATTTCAATAATTGTGAATAAAAAAGTAATTTGGGATATGTAAGATTTCAATAATTGTGATTTGAAAAAGATTTTACTATAGTTCTATATGTAATAATTTGATAGAAAGCAAAATCATTAAGATAAGATTAGTTGTTTTTTAAAACAATATCTTTAAGATAAAATTAGTTATTTTTTTAAAGTTGCTTTAAAATTAGAGATAATTTTTGAACATATAATATAATCCAATTAGGATTTAATATGGGTAGACTCAAGTGACTCATAATTCGTTGATTCTCTTCAATTAAACATGCCACGTAAGAGTGAGAAACAAATCTGATATATATATATATATATATATATATATATATATATATAGATTAGTAGGTGACCATGAAATCTTTAATTTGACTCCCAAGCCAATTTGCATTTGTTTAAACTCTTTTCACACTTAAACGTTATCGATTATCATCAATTTGCATTTTGAAATTCTGTTATGGATAATTTATATATAAAATTAATAACTCGTTTCAAATAACCCTAATCACAAATAATGTTTTCTTGTAATGGTTTTTCATTTTCGATGCTTAGATATTTGTTTCATGCTTTGACGAGTCTTAAAAAAAATTAGGTGCATATGTAATATTTTTTTTTCAACTTTAGTTGACGGGGAAGTTTAGTTAGACTCTGGGGACAAGTGATATACAACCACCGGGTAAATCTTGGAAGTCAAGGAATTGAAACTTTACAAAGCAATTAGCGGCTTAGATTAGGTTGCAACTGCAACTAAAGTGGCCTAATCTAAATCGCACAAACTTATTTTCTTTTTTATATTTAAAGTTAATATTTGAGATGTACAGCTAGATTAATTCTTTGTTGCTTTAGATTTTGTAAAATCTAATTATGAAAATGATTATAGAGAAAAATTAGAATTAGCAGAAGCTACTCTTGATTGATTATAGACTTTAGCTATTTTGATTATTAAAAAAATCTATAATTCGAATATAAAAGTAAACGAGAACATTACAAAATTTAATTATTCAAAATAAGAATCTATAATTAGATAAAAGAATCAATCAAAACTATGCCCTAAACCAAATTAGCCTCAGATGGAGTGCTAATCAATGGATCAAAGTAGTCTAGGAAGTTGTAAGTAGCAATAATATCATATTCCCCTTTGATAGATGTTTTATTATCTTACACCCAAAAAAAGGGTTAAAAGCACTAAACCCTTGTGAATTTTATATTTAGTCGCACTTTACCACCCTCAACTCAATAAATAGGGGCAAAGTAGTTATTTAACGAGTTAAGGACCGTAAAGCCCAACTTAGAGTAAAGTTTAAGGTAGTTTAGTGCATTTAATAAAATAAAAAAAAAAAACTTCTAGAGTGTTAATCAATGGAGCAGGGTAGCCTTGGAAGTTTTAAGTAGTAATATCGCATTGTCCCTTTGATATATGTTCAGCAGGCATAAGTTAGCTTACACAACTAGGTGCTACAACTTGTAAGAAAAACTAGTGCCCAAAACTGTTTCCACTTTCCATGGTCAGATTTAATTGCTTCCCCTATTGATTTGACTAAAAGAAAGAAGAAAGTGTTGTAACCATTCGAGGAAAATTTAGCAAATCCGATTTTCATGCAGAAGTCAAAAAAGATACTGCCCACTACTTCTGAATCAAGGAAACAATTCATGTTTAGGCCATCTTAAGTTTGTCCCCTGAGGTTAGTAGGCAGTAGGTAGGACTTAGGAGCCAAGCAGGTTGCAGACTTAAACCATTCTTTTTGCTCCATATAAGAAGCTTGGAGCGTCCAACTTCAGTAACATGAATCATGCTTCTGTGTGTAAATTCCCGTTTGGTGTGTGTTTGTGTCCACCACTGAATTGGCAAACACATAATAATGTTGATTTTTTGATAAGAAATTGCCCATATTGCAGTATCAGCAGTGTCTCCTTTCCCACCATTCAATCTCCAATAGGTTGTAATGTGATTTCTTTATCACATGTTAGAATAGTTTTTGTTTCTGTGTTTTTTAACTAGTGCTGGCCACAAGGTGGTATGTCCTCAATCAGGTCTATGTCTACATGAAATCCCACTAGCATCTTCTGCTCATTTGTTTACACTGATTTTTATTGTTAAATTATGAATTCACTATTCTTTTTGGCTACTAGATAAGATGCACAAGAACATGAAGACAAGAAAACTTTACTAGCATCCTTCCATTAATTAGAATACTATCAAAGAACAACATGCAGGACCACATAAACATAATTCAAAAATTTGGTCACAAATGCAGGACCACGCAAGCTTTATTTTAGCTTTTGGTTTTGTTTGCGCGGATCTTTCCTATTTGGTAAATTTACAAAATATTAAATTGGATTAAAGATTAAAGTGGTGCATAAATCAATCTTTATTCAACGTCAGAAGCAATCCAGTCAAGTTGCCCTGTTCATTATTCTTGTATCAGTTTTGATAAGCTTCAATCCATTCTCGACAAAGCTTTATATTTTACGCTGATAAAGGAATCAGTTCAACTTAGTACTTCGTATTAGTTAAATGATCATAAAATCCTTGTGTGACTCTCAAATCTTTTCCCTTTTCCCTTCGTACTTGTAA